TGAAAGGGGCATTAAAGGTCCCATGTCATGCTCTTCTGGTTATTACCCGTCCCCTTGTGTGTTATGAAGGTTTTTCTGCATGTAAACTCTAAACACAGAAAATACCTGTCTATGCTGCCCCAGAACGCCTTGTTGGAGATTTTTTTACAGGGACGTGACCATACCCAAATGGACCAATCCGTGGAGCTCCTCACACTCACTCTCTCAGCGGCGAACCTTTGACGCGCTGGGGGGGGGTTTGCTGGTGGAGCCTCGCAGATGGGGGTGCTGCAGCCCCCTCAGCATCCCCCCCTTCCCTCGTCCATTTGAGATGTCTCGCTGTCTCGCAGACTCCACGCAGCAAGCAAATTAACCCAGCTCACACTGTCCGCTCCTCGCAGCAGCGAGCCGCGCATCGTCCCGCCAACACTGCACCCAGACCCCACGCAGCATTCTCATCTGTTTGCCCTTACTGGTGCCATTTTCTGATTTCATGTAACATGTATGTAACACATAATCAGTGATGTTCCGCTGTAACGGTGGTAGACTCATCAGAACAGTGAGCTGGGTGAGCTGACCAATCAGAGCACAGTGGGCTCATAGGGAGGGGGGGGGGCAGGAGCTCCAACAAGCAGTTTAGGACAGAGAGTGAATACACATACTATACAGAGATGCTGTATGAGAAACCAATGTGAGTTTGAAAAATTGCACAATATAAATCTATTCTAGTCCTCAGCAATGGAATTATGATCAGTAGAAGTGGCCATGACATGGGACCTTTAAATCCTCACCGCGGACCAATGTAAATCTATTAAAGGGGGAGACAGGAACTATCTCTAGGTTACTGTAGAACTTAATGAAACTGAATTGAATTGTTCCGAGATCAATGCTAAGCTGTCAAAAATCAGCAGAATGAAACATGAATTTCATTATAAGCTCTGGCTTTTTCCCCCTCAGTGTTTGCACGTCTGTCGTTTTCATTTGTGCAGAACGATTTCCCCCCTTTACTCTATGGCATTTTCTTCCTCAGAGAAGGTGAGAGAGGGTACAACTGAGATGCTGCCTGTCTGTCAGTACTTTGTGGCGAAGATGTCTCCCAGAGAGCAGCTCTGTGCGCTGCCGGCTGCCATGATCAACGTATTTACAGGGATATAAAGGGCGAAAAGGCGGAGAGTCGGACGGGGAGAAAAAAAAATCAGACAAGTACTCATCGAAACTCGATGAATCAGATAATGGGAGTAAGCTGCACACAGAATGAAGATGTGTATTAAGCATCCATTGTCAGGATCTGTGTGGGGAGCGAGGCAGGGTCGATGGAGTTGATCCCGGTTTAATTCAGCTGTCAAGGAACGTTTGAATTCCCACACATGACTGTTGGGGAAGTGAAATGTGGCACACAGTGATTCATGTTGGGTGAGATTTGAGTTTTGTTTGAGCGGATTTTACGTTTCAGTCAACATGCCCGAGTCGTGGCGGTCTAATCCGTCTGGCGGGGCTTTACGGAGGGTTTCCCAGCCGTCGTTAATTAACCCAGAGGTCGATAGATATTGCAACTGTGAGCAATCGCAATTGGAACTCCCTTTGACTAGCACATCTTCAGAGGGTGTACAGTGTGTGCTCCGAGTGTGTGCAGGACATTGTGTGTGCTAGTTGTAAAAATACTCAGCGACCGGGTGGCTGCACGTCTCTGTATATTTGATCCTGCTTTTCCTTCCTACTGCTTCATTCTTTTTGATTAATGCTTTGATTGCTGGCACTGAGAGTCCCATTAAGCTGAAGTTCAAGAGCGTGTGTGTGTGTGATTCTGACAGTTTGAGCAGGAAGTATAATGTTTGTGCGCGTGCCTCCCTTTCATGTCCCATGCGTTGCTGCGACGCTCTGCCCTCAGTTGCCAAGCCATTTCACAACTTGCTTCAAAGAGCTTCTCACATTTCCAGTCGCTGTCTGTAATTTCTCTTTCGGATCTCAAGACCTCCACTGCAAATGGCCTCTAATTCTTTCTCTTGCCACCATTTCTACTATTTCGCAGCATCTCTTCGGTGTTCTCAATTTTCTTTAATCTTTGTGTAATATCTGCAATTCACCATGGCATATGAAACTTCCTGTGTACTTGATTATTTATATTACCTAATACATTATATTTTCTTTTTACTATTTGTAAGCATAGGCACACAATTCCCCCTTCTTGGTTTACAGTAACTCCAATCAGTGAAAATGTCCTCTCTTTTTAACTTAATACGAACAAAGTTTCACTCTCCCTCCTCATTTCTCTCTCACCTTCTGAATTTCATCATCTGTACTGTACCTCTTTTTGCATTCTCATTCTTCTCATCTTCAGCTTTCCGTTTCTAGCCTCTTTTTCTCCCTCAGGGATCAAACACCTTGCTCTCATAACAAAGGGGGCAAGTAATCCCTTTGTAAAAGTGTTTCTCTTTTATTCTCTCCTCTAGTGCTGTACTGTTTTAACTCCTTCTCCCCTCCTTGTCTTTTCTCTCTCCAAATTACTAATCTCTTGCTCACAAGTTGCTCCCTCTTTACTATGAAACTAAACCTGTTTATTCTCGTCTTTTTTCTCTCAGCTGCTCCTATTTTTGACCTTAATCTTTTCTCTTGCAGATGAGATTGATATGTTGGAGCGCCTCTGGCTGTCGGGTATCTGCCACAATGATAAGATCGAGGTATGACATACAATCAATTATCTCTGCGTTGTCCATCTACATGTAACAGCGTCAGCCTCTGAACTGTTTTGAGATAAAACTAAATGTAATGCTGTTGTTACTGCTTACATATAACCAGACTTTATCATCATCATTCCCTATCATTTGAAACAAACTAACTTTGAACGGATTTTTTAAGTATAGATTCTCTGCAGAGCATTTAACCTTATCAACATGTTATCCAGTTTTTGAATTATTCTTCTTTATTATATGTAATGACACTCATCTCCAGTAATTTTGTGGTGTACAAATCAACAATAAATATTTAGTAAGTGACTGCAAGATGACTGCAGAAGAGAGCCATTAAGGTTCAAATGGATCAATATTACTGTCTGAAAGGTTTTTGCCTGATATGAACCAGATATGTTGTGGTGACTGACATGTTTTGCCCATTGCATCAGAGTTCTGAGTGCATGGGCTCTAAATGATCACAGATGGGTGCTCTGAAACATAATGACAGTAAACAAATCTGTGTTGGACTGGTGGTTATAATTAACTTTTTATCTGGCTATTATCACCTTTTACAACATTTTCAATTTGGTTGCTCATCTTCCCGTCTTCCGTACCCCTCTCCAGGTCATGAGCAGTAAGCTGGACATAGACAACATGGCGGGGGTCTTCTACATGCTGCTGGTGGCCATGGGTCTGAGCCTCCTGGTATTTGCCTGGGAGCACCTGGTGTACTGGAAACTACGGCACTGTGTGAAGCACTCCGGTGGGATGGACTTCCTCCTGGCTCTCAGCAGGGTGAGAAAAAAATGCAGATATCTCCCTTAAACCTCAACAACACTTTGCCTCTTGGTTTATTGACTTGGCATGAAAAACACTTCAAAGATTAAAAGATGTATTTCTTGACTTGAGGATCTTGGCAAGCTCAAGCGGCCTTATGAATGTAGATTACAATACAACACAATGTAATGTACTTAAAAAAAACACATCAAGAAGATTGGTCCAAGAGTGGCAATATCTTATATTTTTACATTTAATAAAAAAGGATGCATCCAGCCACTGTTTAAAAACAATTGTGAAGTATTCATGATTATAGAATTGGGTGTCATCTGCATAACAAATGAAACGTATACCAAATGTAACTTATGGCAGCATAGGCAATCATAATGGAGTCAAGGAAAGAGCATGAACATTTCTCTCCTACTGTAGGTAAAACCAAGATGTCTTTGTCTGATTGGTGGAAAGTATTTTGCAAAAAACGAGCAAAACCACCCAAACACTAACAAATTAGTACATAAATACACGAGTACTTTCTCACAAGCCTATGCCAGTTGTCATTGGAGTGGATCATAGGTTGCAGGATTTCATAGTGGAACATACATCACTTTAAAGATGCATCAATTTAAAAGCAGTCCTTTATGTTTGGATGTATCCTCAAGACGATTAATTAATACCTAGCACAAAGTGTAACAAGGTAAAAGTATGATTTATCTCCACCAAATGTAAACAATTCAGAAGACCTGCTAGGTGGTGAGAGAACTAAAGGAAGTGAATTCGAAGATGGGAGAGATTTTACATTTTCACTTTGACCAGCATCTCAACTCACTGATTTGCAAATTGTCAACATGAGAGGGTAAAAGTTATCAGTGAAATTCCTACAGATTTATAATTCAGAGCTTGAGAAGCATTGGTAAGCTATTAATGCAGGTGCAGGACATATTATAGACCAGCAGGTGTAGAAGCTTTTAGGATCTCCTGTTCCCCGCATAGGATATTAGCCTTGAAGTTCACTTCATTAAGGAAATTAAATATATAGATGAAGCAAGCTTAATGAACAGTTTCCAGATACAATCAGGAAATGGATTGCAAAAAGGCATATACCACTTAATGCTGGTAGTTGTTTGTTGCACTCAGCAAGACAAAAGGAAGTAGAGCCAAAAACAATAACATCAATGTTGTTTGTATACGGCATCACGCCAAGGGTCCAGGGCAGGGTGATCACAGCTATTTTCTTTAAAAGCCAATGCAGCTTCTGTAAGTTCAGCCCTGTGTCCGGGTAATATAAAGTACAGGTCCTAGCTAGACTTTCAAAGTTTGATTTATTGTTTTATGTCCTTTATGACTATGTTGCAATGTTGGAGGCAAATACGATTTTCATTGGCATTTCTACACTGTAGCTACTGTGCATATGGCAATAAAGCCTTGAGTCTTGAATGCTTTTGGGGACTTCCCCCTTCCTGTAGTGTGTTATATCGTTTTTTGTGCATGTAAATGGTCTGCAAAGGCTAAAATCCCAAAGTTCCCTCCAGAGGGAGTTTCTCTCCCACACACTCCCCCCCTGCCTGAAATGCATGAGTTTACTCCTTTGTTAAATTCCTTAACATAAGGACATCTCTATGTAACACTCGTGCTTCTATTGGCTAGTGTTTCAACACAATGCACGTGATAGGGTAAGGGGTGGGACAAGTGGTTGACCAATCACAACAGAGCCAGGCAGCTAACCCATAACGGCAGAATGGTCAAAAGAGGTGCTGCAGCACTGACAGTATGAGAAAAATAAAGCACTGTACATTAAGGAATGTAAACATGTCACAGTAGAGGCACAAAATACAAATATGAAACCTGAAAATGAAAGAACAGCAAGTTAATGAGATAAGATGGGATGAATTAACTAGAAGAATTAGAATAAGATCATTTGAATTGGTAAGAGAGGGATGGGAAAACATAAATGCGCTGATTTGGGAGGGAAAATTAGAGGAGTGGGAAGGTAGGGGAGGAAAGCTTTGATAATAAAATAGAAGACAGCTGTTGGTTTGAATGTCTGGGGTAGCGAAATATAGCAGGTGCTGATGAGATTCCAGAAGGAATGACAGGGACAGAGAGGAGGAGGAGGACGGATGTGTGGTGGTGGGAACTGTTGAAGTGGAAAACAGGCTGCATAGAAACATCGCCATATATTCTTGCTGGTTGTGGGGGGGATACATTTATGTTAGAATGACACCAAAAAAATGTGATTCACTACCCCCTCTTGCTTTAAAAGCAGAGAAAGTTGCTAATTTATATACAGCGGAAGTGTTTCTTATTTGCACTATAAAGAGCAGGAAGACGAAATCGAATAAGTTCAAAGCATAGAAAATAAGAGAATCACTCTAAATCTATAATTCTACCAGTAAAAAACTAAATGGAATGCAGTTCGAACTAGGCTTCACAGTACATCAGCTAGATCAATATTTTGATTCTCATACAAACATGGACATGAATACATACTCAAACCCTGAAAGCCTGAATACCGCCAGATTCAGTCAGACATGGGTCCTATTGAAGACCAATAGGTCTTTTGCATTTACTGCCATTTACCAATAACACTGCAGTGCTTTATTGATGGAAGGATGTGGGTGAAAATCCACTATGTCCCCCTGTAGTCTCGATTTTCCCTGATGGGCTTCCTTATAGACCCTCTGGAGTGCAACTCTACCTCATTCATTCAGAGCAGACAGGCATATTTTCTCGCATGAGCAAACTTTGATCTGTAGCATTCCTCATGCTAAGAATACAAACAGAAATTCAATGCAAAGGATCAATCCCAATAACTTGTTTCTCCCAAGCAATATGCTGTGCTTGCTTTAATGCCTCTGCAGCTGGCCTGTGTTGCCTGCTTTAACCCAATCAGTGACTCACCCAAGTTTCAATTTCACAGTGCGCTGCGCCCCGTGCTCTGGGTACTGTGATAGCACTTCTGCTGCTGGGACTGCTGATTCATGTGTCCGGAAGGGCCATTATTACTGTCCCTCCATCAGATCTGTGTCCCGGCGGGGAATAGAGATTTACACGAGGGCCCACACATTTTGTCATTAAGATGTTACAGATATTGATAGATATTATGAATCATCTTTTCGTATGAAGAATAAAAGATTGTTTGTGATTTACATGGCTCTCTACAGGACTGCTAATTGAGTTTCATCTATCTAAAGTGAGGTGTAAATATTCAAAGGCAAGGGAGAAAGAGCATGTGGGCACAGTTGAGGTAGCGTTGCTCATCTGACACGATTGTATAATAGATTGATTCTGCTTGGGGTTTAAATTCTCAAGAGATATCATGAGGAGCGGGTAATTTACACTCTGCCTCTTTCATTTGATGTTTTATTCATATCAAACATTGTTCGATGTTGCTGTTGAGATGAAAAAGGATAGACTGGTTCTAGCCACGCATGTTTAGAGCAGTCTATTATGAGCAAGTAGGAACGATCTTATTTAAATTAAAGTGCCAACAAATAACAGCACAGAGACACATCAAAATTAGATCCTCTTTTTAGTTGCCACTTACTCATTAATGTTATGTACCTAGGGAAAATTCTACTTTAGTTAAGTTTAATGAAAAATAAACAATTTAATCTTAATTTACGCAGTTGGAACAAATATGAAGTTTTAAGTTAAAGTGGACCTATCATGCTATATTTGAACAATATATTGTAGGGCCATACCTATATAAAGTATGTAAATACAGTTTTTTTTTTCAAAATACCAAACAGATCCTGCATTTTAGCCATGCCTCATTTCGCTCTATTTGCTCTTTCCAGCCCTGTTTTTGCAGGGGCTGATTCTGTGATGTAGCTTTAATGCAAATGAGCTGCAGCTGACCACGCCCCCCTGCAGGAGAGGGGAGCGTGCTTTGAGATCAGCTGCTGGGCTGTCAGAAGAGGCGGGAGGAAAATAAATCTCCATCCTCCGTGATTTAAACTTTAACGGACATGTTGACCGGCGAAAAAAAATCAAACTGAAACTCTGCCGCACGGTCCCCTCGTCCCTTGGAAGAGACGGAGAGGTGGGTGTTTGTCATCTGCTGGTGGACTAACCGGAGAGAATT